AGAGAGAATGTGAGAGACTGCATCTATACCCAGGGCCCCGGAACACGCTGCAACTGGAAGGGCCATTGCTCACGCTCTGCTCCGGCCTCTTGGTCCTGCGCTCGCGGCAGCAGGCTGCAGAGCGGCGTGTGACCCGCTTGTCCTTTACTCTGGGATTGATGAGTCTGGGAGAGCTTCAGTGGCCGGGAGCAGGGACGGGAGAAGGCGGGCGAGCAAAGCGAATGGGGCGCCAGTGTACTTTCCCCTCGGCGGGACGCCCACAGTCCAGCCGCCAGGGCCTGTGTATTGTATTGTCATTGCCCGATTCAGTGCACTTGCCTCGGCTCCTTGGGATCGCACGCTTGCCCCGAGCTGAGTGAAGCCGCCTCTGCAGCCTGTGAACCTACTCTGCGCAGTGCTGCCTCCTTCCCAGCCGAAGGGTCCTTGCAGAGCCAGGGAGAAAGGGAGGCGTCTTAGGAACAGGGGCCAAGAGCTTCCCTCCCGAAACTGATTCTTCAGGCACACTTCTCCTTCCAAGCTGCTGTGCGTTTTCCTCCACGCGCGTTTCTTCCTCTTTCTTTCTTTCTTTCTTTCTTTCTTTCTTTCTTTCTTTCTTTCTTTCTTTCTTTCTTTCTTTCTTTCTTTCTTTCTTTCTTTCTTTCTTTCTTTCTTCTTTCTTTCTATTTTCAGCCAAAACTCTACTTGTTTTTTAATGTAATGTACAATGCGAAAGTCAGTTCTTCTGTCCAAATACTCCTAGGAGATTATTTATTTATTCATTATTACTTTTTATTGGATTTATTGGGGTGATAGGGGTTAATAAAATTGTATTGGTTTCAGGTGTACAGTTCTATAATCCATCACCTGTATGTTGTGTTGTCTGTTCACCACCCCAAGTCGAGTCTCCTTCCATCACCGTTTATCCACCCCCACCCCCTCTTCTACTTCTGTCCACCCTACTCCTAGTCCATTTTAATATTTCCTTTGTCTCTGGTCCCAACTTCTGCCTTGAACTGTATTACTTATTTACATATCTGTCTCACCTATTAAATCACAGAGCTGCCTCTGGAACTAATGGGCGATTCCAAGGCAGGGCTGTGGGGAGGTGGGATAGGTAAAATTCAGACCCCTTATTGCTATTTTAACCACAGATCCTCAGATTTGGGGTAATATATTGGTAAGAACCAATATAATTTCTTTGATATAATTGTTAAACTGCTAAAACACAAAGTTTAAAGATCGCTACCAATATTTTAAATTGCTGATGGGATTCTTTTATTAATTTCTATATTGTGGCAAAATTGGAAAGAACTGTTTTCCAGTGAATGAATAAATCAGTAAGTATCCCATAAGATATTACAAGAACTGTATTGCATTTTAGCTGAAAGCACAACAAACACACTCAGTATTACTGCTTGAATACCAGTCTTTCTCAAACATTCAAGTGGGAAAGTAACAGAACCTCAAAGGTTGGTGGCAGGAGAGTGGCAGGGGAGAAGAGAAAGAATCAGGGCCCCTGGGATTGATTTATGAAGAAGGGTAGTAAGATTTTATGGAGTGGAAACTAACAGATGGCTCACACTTTTTTTCCTTCCCACAATTACCCCTCCCTCAATTACTTCTGGAATATACATTCTGCACTGGCACAAAGGCCAAAAGCTCTTTGGAAGACCTGTTGGAGTCACATGTAAATAACATTAGGGCTCCTAACACAATGATGACTCTTAGCATCCCCAGTCTCCATATTCATAGTTGTGGGTATTGTGGGTGATGAGTTTTTTTATTCTTTGTGCAAAGCTGTCTTACCAGGCATGACTTATCAGAGTCTTGGGGAGCCACAGGTGTGCTTTTTAAGCTTCTAGTCTAGACAGAAAATATGAAAACATTAGTCAACGTCCTCCAAATTCATTTAAATGAATCATAAACTGATTTCCTCCAAATTCATTTAGCAAACCTCAGTCACTAATATTTTTTATGTTTTTAAGAACTTAGGATGGTTGAGAAAATCATTTTTCTTTTAAAAATCAAATATCTTTCAAAAAAGTTATTTATACTTCAACTTGCTTAAACATCTCATTAAAATAAAATGGAGCTAATAAAATACACACTTTTCTCTTTAAAGTCCTTGACATGATTAAATTTTGTTTAAAATACAGAACGAATTTCTAAACATATACTACTATGGAACCTAGAACTTGCGTTTGAAAGGACGTTAACAGTCTCATCATCTTCCAATGCAAGAATTACATAGAATAATGCAATCCTTATATTTTGGCATTTCTGTTAGACAACCCTCCCTGCAGGAAGCCAGCTACCTCACAAGACAGCCAATTTGTTCTTCAGTGCTACTTGTCAAAAGTTTTCTTCTTATCAAGCCATAATCTGCCTACAGGAATGAGGCTACCACAGACCAATTCCTGTTCTACCTTCTGGAAGTCTGCAAAAGTATAATTTCTCTCCCAGAAAAGTCCTTTAAATGTGTGATGATACATATTATGCCCCCTCTTAAGGCTTTTCTCTTTTCTATTATGCATACACACTTCAAAACCGTTTTTTACATAACATTGATTCCTGGATCTTCCCAACTCTAATTATATTTACCCAGGACATTTTCCAATTTGTCAATATCCCTCCTAAATTTATGATAAAGTCTTTTTATAACTGATTTTTTTGATAAACTCAGATATTTCAAGGAATCTAAGTATTTCAGCTTTAAAGCAATATACAAATTAAAATAGCTTATAAATAAAAATTATTATTAATTATTAAGTTATTAAAATAAGTATTAGAAAAAATACTTTTTTCTGATATTCTGCACCATACTTTTACGGGCAAAAGTATTAACCTGTGAATTCTTCATTCTGATAAAAGATGAATATTTTCAGCTTGATCTAAGTAAATCTGCCATTGTCTCACAAACCTGCTAAGAGGTGACTGTTTTGGCAGGTTATTTCCACTGCCTCTCTCCTCACCTTTTCAAAGAAGCTTCACTCATTAAGCCTCTTTTCACTTTGACTGAGAAAATCCTCTAATTGAATTATTTTCCTCTTTCGTGTAATTCATCAGGCCTGAAGAAGAAAATAACATGACAGCATTCTCCTTGCCACCATTAATAAGCAACTCTCTTCTAGAGGCTTATACGATTTTCTTTTATTATTGTCTTCCTACTGTCAGTGACATTATCTGTTGATTTCTGGGACCATCTCTTTTCTTCCATAGTAATTTAAGTATGTAGATCAGAATGTACTTCTCTTCTCCATTATATATGTAAACCTATTTTTCCGCACATTGGAGTCAGTCTCCCCAGTTCCGATGATGCACATGTCCACCCCATTTTACCCAGGCAGCTGCCTGCAGCCTGAATCACTCCTTTTGGCCTGGACTGGAACCTGCCTCTCCCCCCGTCCTCACCGGGTAGTCCTAACTTCTGCAGCTTCTCCAAATTTTTACACAGGCCTGTTGCAGTCCTACCTTCATTTCTAAATTTTAAACTCTAAAAATAACATTTCTGACCCCAAGAGCTTTATCCTTATAATATTGGGACCTACTGAACCTTCTCCGAGTACTCATCGAATCATGAATCCTTTGACTTTCCTTAATTCTCTCATTTCATCCTCTCTTTAATTACTTCTTTCTCTGTTCGGCCTGCTTCCAATGACCAACTATTTTGGTCAGACATTTACAACTTCTCTAAAATCCTTTCCATTTCTTTTTTTTTTTCCAGTTTGCACTCTCCAGAGTTGAGAGTCAGAATCTGACTGACAAATTCTATGTATTTGTGCTGTCTAACTTCAATTATGTTACTTTCATTTAATTAGCTTGAACTGAGAAGATACTATGTTGGCCAGCAGCTGTCCTGAGTGCTAGCTATTCAAAGAGAAATTAGATTCAGTTCTTTCCTCTGAGAAGGTCAGAGTCTAGTCAGGAAAATAGCCACAAATGAATACTTTTCTACCCATGAAATGTGCTAGAACGCAGATAGGTTCAATACTCAATTATGGTATAGAAGAAAGAACAAAAAATAATTCTGTCTGGAGAATACAGAAAGTCTTCAGAGAAAAAAAGTATGGTTTTTTTTTTTCAGTGTCTTGAGTGATAAGCTATAGTTTCTTGTGTGCTGGGAAGGGCCGATGTGGTGGGGAGAGGACAGGCATGCCAAACAACTTGAACATCATAAACAAGGAGGTGAAGCTGTGGGAAGGCAGAGCAGGTTACAAATTGAGGGTGAAGATGTTGAAAAGGGGAGATGATGAGAGGGAATCACGGAAGGACAGAATTGCGCAGTGCTGGGAAGGTGTTTGTGCTCAGGAGTTCAGGATACATTTTGGGAGCCAAAATTCCCAGAGTGAGTTCTATGAGCAATCGCATCCCATCAATTATTTTCTGTGGACAAAATGTCTTTGTGATCCTATAAATTGGGAAAATTCTATAATACTATAACCCTTTCTTTTTTTCTTTTCTTTTTTATTGAATTTATTAGAGCGACACTGGTTAATAAAATGAGATCGCTTTCAAGTGTACCATTCAATAATACATCCTCTGTGTGCTGCACTGTCGGCTCACCATCCCAAGTCACCGTGTATTCTTTCCATCACCGTTTATTTCCTCATATACCTTCTAACTCCCCCTACACCCCTTCCCCTCTGGTAATCACCACACTGTTGTCGGTGTCTATGAGTGTGATTTTTAGAGAAAGAGGAAGGGAGAGTGAGAGTGAGAGAAAAACTCCTGCCGCTCCCTACCAGGGATCAAGCGGTAACCCAGGCATGTGCCCCTACCGAGAACTGAACCAGAAACTTTTTGTTACATGGGATGACACCCAACCAACTGAGCCACATAGGCCAGGGTGAATTTAAAGAAATAAATTCATGATTCACATTCACATATTAAAAGTTCTGAAATTTCTGTATGAATAGGCTATTTAATTTTGTTTAACACAGTGTCTTCCAACACAAGTAGCTATAATGATTTCTTTTTCCTCTGAATCCCTCTTCTTCTCTCAATGGTGTCCATTTGTACAGGGCAAACTCTTGGCATCTGAAGATTTTGAAGGAGACTTAGAAGTCCATGGCACGTCCTATCTGCTGAGGGATCGTTCTGAATTGTGAATGCTTCAGGGCTGCTGTGTGAGTGTGAGTCACAGAGCAGGTAAGAAAGTCTAGACAAACACTCGGAGCCTACACGCCTCAGTGCAACAGTGATGTTCTCTGTCATACCTTACTTTGTTTAATTGTCAAAACAACCCTGTGTATTATTATATCCATTTTAGCTATAAGATCACTGATGAAATTATATACGGGTATTTATATATGGGAATTACAACTTTGGACATATGTGACATAATTTCAAGATCTGCTATTATTATTTTTTTAATCCTCACCTGAGGATATTTTTTTCCATTGATTTTTAGAGAGAATGGAAGGGAGGTGGGGAGACACAGAGAGAGCAACATCAATATGAGAGAAGCACATCGATTGGTTGCCTCCTGCAGGCACCCCGACTGGGGCCCAGGGATCGGGCCTGCAACCAAGGTACGTGCCCTTGACCGGAATCCAACCTGAGACCCTTCAGTGCACTGACCAACACTCTAACCACTGAGCCACAACAGCTAGGGCAAGATCTATTATTCTTATTTGGTCCTTTATACTAGATTACATGCTTCTTGCCATCTATAGAGTAGGGAGATAGAAGCATAAGGTTCATGTTCACTCAGCAAAATCTGTGAGCTACAGATTATGCCACGGAGTATGAATACAGTAGACATTCCAAGGCACCACTTTTAAAAGCAGAATTTATTTTTAACCCTCACCCGAGGATATGTTTTTATTGATTTTAGAAAGAGAGGAAGGGAGAGAGAGAGAGAAAGAAACATCAATGTGAGAAACATCGATGGATTGCCTCCTGTATGCAGCCTGACTGGGAATCAAACCTGCAACCTTTTGGTATATGGGACAACTCTCCAATCAGCTGAGCCAGGGCTAAAAGCAGAAGTTCAGTTTCTGCTTCAATCAATTCATTTTACTCTATGAATAGTTATGAATAGTTATTTTTATTTAAGCAATTTCACTAATACTCATATTAACAAACTGGTTAAATTTGATATTACATTTTCAGGATTGGTGTTTGTAGTGTATAAATTCTAATTCATCTCAATTTTAAATGCTGAGCAGACTGATTTAAAATGATCATATTCATAAAATCTCTGTGTAATCAAAGCCATAAATGTGTAAGACTTTGTTACTGCAAAATAGTAGCATAGCATTGTGGACAGTAACATAGCAATTCAAACAGCCTAGCATGCATTTATAGTTGGCATAGCATATTGGGTCTCTTTCTGCCTCACTTAACTTTGGGATTAAGATTTGAACCTGATCCCCTTGTCCTTGAGTTTATCTACCTCTTTTCAAAAAAAACCCAAATGATTTCTGTCTAAAGTTAATTATAATTTACATGCAGTAAATTTACTAAATTGCTTCCAGATCTGCCTTTTTTCTTTTTTAAGAAGCAGAGTAGGAAGTAATATTTGTTCCTTAAAAAGAATCTTTGTGTTTGCCTAAATGTACATTTTTTAAAGCTACATATGTTCAGTTAATTTTTTCTATGGCTGAAAGTGGTGCCTAGAGAAACTTGAAAGACTTAGAATGGACATTGTATTCTCTGTCAGCAAATTTATATGTAAAAACTGGCAAAGACACAACTTTCTGGGAAAGTTTTTGCCATGACAAAAAGTAGAAAGGGCAAGTATAATTCTCCTATTTCAATACTGATTAATTGGCAGTGGCTGCCTTAAGGCTGTGTTGAAAACATTTTGAGAGTGGAGGAGATGGCTTACAAGGAACTCTTCAGGTAATGATGTCTGCTGTATTCGTGGGGTAGGAAGCTGTGCTGTGTGGCATTCATCCCAATATTAGTGTCATATCAGAAACAGGTGAGTAGTATTTCTACTGAAAACAAGCACGTCTGAAACAAATGAAATTTGGAATAGAAAAAAAAAAATCTATAACTATATGGACTCTCATGTTTATATTATATATTACCATAAATAATTCTCTGATCCTTTTAGTTATTGGCTAACCAATAAGCTGCCAGAAACATCTGAAGTGAGAAAAACATATCCTCATTTTTTCTATCACTACTCCTAGGGGTTGTGGGGACATGAGGGCCAAAGGGCCTTGCTCTACTCCTTTCCTGAGTGCAGGGATCAAAATAGTACTCCTAAAAGCTTACCAAGACTCCTCTTTTTTTCTGTTTTAATTTATCTTTATTGCTGAAAGTAAGTATTACAGATGTCCCTTTTTCCCCCACTGATCTCCTCCATCCAGAATTGCCCACCCCCCCTCTACCACCCCAGGGCTTCCCCACATTGTTGTCTGTGTCCATGGATCATGCATATATGCATATAAGTTCTTAGGTTAATCTCCCTCCCCCACCACTTCCAGCCCCCGCCTTCCCTCTGACATTCATCAACCAAGACCCCAAATTTAACCTGACCCTAAATGCAAAGGAAAAAGGAGGGTACAGTGATTGGTAGCTTTAGAATGGGTCCTAATGTTTATGGATCACCTCTCAGGCAAGAAGTTGAAGAAAGGAAAACTGGCCGTGTCTTGCATAAGAAATAAACAGGAACATGATTATGGCAGGGAGGAAGCAGAAAAGAGAATATGGCAGAGAGGAAGAGAGAGACCAGGCACTATATTAAGGATATGCAGCTTAAAGATAAATGTAGTCAATATTCCTGATTGTGGGGTGATAGAACAATTTTCACAATTCTAGCTTTTCATTCTATGATGTGATATAAACTCTGTACATCCTCATCCTCATAATCCATATAAAACTAGCAGTACATTTTTTAAAAAAATATATCTTTATTGATTTTGGAGAGAGGAAAGGAGAGGGAGAGAGAGAGAAAGATCAATGATGAGAGAGCTATTGATCGAGCCCACAACCCAGGGATGTGCCCTGACCGGGAATCAAACCCCGATCGCCTGGATCCTAGGTCGACACTCAACCGCTGAGCCACACCCGGCCAGGCCAAGCAATAATTTTTTGAGGGAAAGAAGTTTGTTTATGTAAGCTCTGTAAAGAACCCCATGCTGTAGCTATTTTTTGTTTGCTGTTAGTTGTAATTTGGTCTGTCATTCACTTTGCTGCCAATCACTGCCTAGATAACTTAGATTTCTGGCTCTTGTGATATGGTGCAATTGTCACCACATGGATGTCAGTGTAGTGATAACTTTGGGAGGTCACGCTTTCCCAATATTCCCCACAGAATTGCTACACATAAGGCCAGACAGGTATGGCAAACTTTTTTTTCTTTTATTTGTTGTACATATTATATATTCTACTAATTTATGAAAATATTGTTCTCCAAACCATTTTTTTAAAAAGTATGCATGTTCATTACTATATTCCTATAATCTAAAACAGTCTTTGACACATAGTAGGTACTCAAAAAATATTTGTTGAATAAAAAACAAGTAAAAATTTTGTAAAACAAGTTACTTTTTTACCATGTCATGCAATCTGATATAATAATCTAGTCTAGTCCATAACACACTTAATTTTAAAAATGTGAATCAACAATTTATTAATTTGATTATATGAACCTCAAGTGGTCAATTAATGCTTGAAAACATTAATTTAAATGGTAAGGATAAGAGTTCTGGGTTCAGCAACTAAAATATCTGAAAAACAAAAGACTACCTGAGGACTCTGAAAAATAAACAAAGTAAGAGGGAGTCAAAAGTAAATGCACAGGGTATATTTTTCTTTCTTTCTTTTTCTTATATACTTTCCTCCAAGTGTGGGCCCCAGCCACAGTGCAGCATATCAGCAGTGGATGCATGAGGGGCTAAATCTTCCATAGAAAGCCCATCTTTACAATCATAGAAACCGTCAAAGAGCTTCTGGGGGCTAGAGAGTGAGAAGAGATTCTCAGAGCAGAGAGAGCCAGAGAAGAAGATCCTGTAGGATTGTGTATAAATCTGCAGATACCTCTGGCTCATTTTTTATTGTGGACAGGCTCAAACAAGCAGAGAAATGTTTTAAAAACTGAACTAAGATTTGAACCACCAGCTAGCTACAAAAAGCAAGAGAGAATCTGTGGTTTGAACTTAACCATGTTGGTTGCCTGCTAAATAAAAGTCAACATGCTCCAGAGGATTATAACAGGAACTAGAGTCTAGACAACATTCAAAATGTTCAGTATATAATCCAAAATTATTCATCATACCACCAGAAAAATGTGAGCAATTATTCGTGAGAAATAATCAACAGATGCTGAGGTATTAGAATTAGTAGACAAAAGTTTTAATGCAGTTATTAAACTATGTTTTATGAAGAAAGGGAAACACACTTGAAATAAATCAAAATATAAAATTTGGTAGCAGAGAACTAGAAACTATAAAAAACCAACATGGAATAGAATAGAATCTCAAAAAATAAAAAATGTACTGGGGGGGGTGTCTCCATGATAGCATGTAGATGACAGAGGAAGTTGACAACAGGTAAGTAAATATTATCCAACTTGAAGAACAAAAAGAAAGAAAATAAAACACGTGTGACAATATCAAAAGGTGAAACATACATGTGATTGGAATTCCAGAAGAAGAAAATGAGGATGGGGCAGTAAAAATTTTTGAAAAAATAATGGCTGGAAATTTTCCAAATTTGGGAGAAGATAAAAATGTACATATTTAATAAGTCAAGAAAACCTCTAAACAAGATATAATAAAATAAAATAAAATTTAAACAAACCTACTGAAACTTCAGGAAACCAAAGATTTTTAAAAAATCTTATAAGTAGTTGGACAAAAAATGACACATTTCATACAGGGAACAATGCTTTGAGTGATGACAAGTTTCTCGTAAAAATCATGAGGTCAGAAGACAGTGAAACATCTTTAAAATGCTAAAAGAACTGTCAATCTGAACTTCTATATCCAGTGACAGTATCCTTTAAAATTACTGGTAAAATTGGAGACTTCAGTTTCTGATCTGGCATGTAAGGAGCTTAGAAGTGCCACTCTGTCCTAACAACAAGTAAAAAACTGAACAAATGGAAAAATTTAACGTCTTTTCCTAGGTCCTTCAGAGAAGTAAGGTCACAGGACAAACTGCTGTCCTCAAAATTCTG